TAAGATCTATATTGGGAAAATTGTGGAAAAAATTAACAAATGGTCCATCATCACCCTAAATAATTTATAATTGCTAAGTAATTCTCAACTTATTGACAGCACATTGTCCCTAAAGCTGGTTTGCAAATTCCTATTTCCGAACAAAAGGATAGGATAGCCCAAGTTAACGATTACGAGTGATAAGCCTTTTTACTAAACTTCTAAGTGAATTTCACTGGCAACGTAAGGCATTCTCATATCATTTGGCGAAATATAACTGTTAATATCTGATCCTTATACGAACTATGGTGTCCAGAACTCGTATTCATGATCTGCTGGAAGCCTTCAAACCGACTAACAATAAATATACGAGAATGGAAATGTATAGTTGCACTTACGGCGAACTCTATTTCAAAGCGACTCGACATCGGAGGCGTCAGGAAACCATGGGATGACGAGAAGGCGCCAGAAGTCAAAGCAGATGAGAGAGTGTAAAATTGCAGGGGACCTTCGGCCATAAGGGACCGCCGATAGTCGCAAAGCTTCGCCTCCGACTACCGCCTACTGCTCAGGGCACGGGTGAGCGGAACGGTAGGCCGCAACACCGACGAGTCTGGGCTGCCAGTGGGCATCGGGACTTTGGAGGCCCAGCGGAGAGCATCCCGAGCCGGGGTTCGAGCTCCAGAATGACGGGAGCAAATCCCGCCACAGGTCCGATCCTCTGCTTGCCTCCATCGCCAGGCCCACAGCCCTGACTTTGGATGCAATTTCCCATGCTCACACGTATATATACTAACATTTACGCATACTTGCTCACAGTGTACTCAGCCTCCTTGCGTGTCGTACTCACACCAATCGCTGATGTGCCTCGCCGAAACCGGTAGGTCAGATGGGAACAGAGTCTGATACAGGCAAGTACGGATACACTTGTACATTGTTCTGTTCACGCGGGATAAGGGTTCGGCAGAATGCAAAATGAACTAGAAGCCTAGTCTCCTGGCTAGACGGATTGTTGTGCTGTACACTATATGAAGCCCAATCTCGTCTATCTGATTGTCTGTACGTCTGTATGTCCGTATGACTCTTCCATATTTTCTTGAATGGGGGGATGCATCTGTAGCCCCGTCAGTATATTGATATGCCTGTTTGTGTGTTTGTATTTATGTATGTCTGTATGAATAAATAAATGCATACAAATGTTGAGATAAGTAGCCATAACGATAGGGACGCGTCGTCTGGTCTCATACGTCTGCCTCTCCACATGCCCTCGCCCAAAATGCACCACTGAAAATCCCCAATGATTACACATGCGTCCATCTCTATCGCGTGAATGTGCATATCTTAACTGGGTCTATATTTCATTCAGTTTCTCTGAGTAAGAGTATGGACAGGGAGCTGCCCCGACATGTCGGTGTCCTTCTTACATCCACCTTAAGCACGGCCTGGGAAACACGTTGGTCGAGGGGCTAGGCTGTGAAGGAGATGCGAAGGATAGTAAAGGGAGTAGAGGACATGGAGGATGGGACTAGGCATTGGCAAAAGAGACAGATTCCGACATCATTTACACATAGGGAAAGTGACTTGTGCAGTTGAGTGTTCATGTGAATGTGTAAGAGGAAGGGTAGTGATGAAAATGGAACTCCTCTAGCACACCTCTAAAATCAGGCCTAAATTATAAATACTAGCTGACATGCAAATGTAGATGAGGAGAAAATCTGTGTCCTGTAGCATACTAGTTTTGGCGCAGGATTAGACGCATGAAAAAGACTCAATTTCGCCTGATTCTAGCCATTTAGTCACTACGCCCACTCTCAGCACACTCAGCAATTCCACGAGGGCATCTATTCGCCTGTATGCATGTATATGCATCTGCGCTTGTGCGTTGACAAGTGGGAGAGAGGGATGCGATTAAATAAGAATGTGTGTTGCTAAATGATTTAGTACTGAAGTTTATCGACATCCAGACCCAAAAAAGGAAAGGTGATGTTGGTCATTGCAGCACTAAATATGTGAGATACCTTGAGGGTCATGAATGACGTGAGAATCAACGGAGCTCAGGTCGTGTGGCCGAGAAGGTGAAGTGGGCAACTCCTTACTCACACACCCATGATTCAGAGCTGACTGGATTTAGGTTGATGCAGCGAGGCGGAAGCTGTGGTCCAGATTTGGTGAGAAGAGCCTATTCAAATGTTCGATGAAATGGAGTGACATGCAAAACCGAGGGCTACCTTTCAACTCATATTTGGCAGAAACATAACCGAAAATGGTGCATAACGTCACCAATCGGGTATACTAGATGCTATTACATTAACTGCTTTTATCAATATTCGTAAGTGAGTAGGGTTTCGAGACTACCAGTAAATCTGTGTAATGAGATGTATTCACCCTTTTTCGTA